ACATGATAAATTGCATAGATTGTGAAGATATTAAAATATCCTTGCATTTCTAGGAAACACCCTACTTCATGACGTATTTTTTTAAACACTGTTCTTTTACTGGCGATTTTTTTCATCTATGTTCATAAGTGAGATTAGTCTACAAATTTTCATACCATCTTTGATCAGGTTTAGCTTTAGGATTTCACTAACTCTGTGAAACGGGTTGAGTGGCTTTCTCTTTCTATTCTCTCAGAGTTTCCTGGAAGACAGGAATGATGAGTTCCTTGATATTCTGGTTAAACATTTAGCACCGCGTCTTTTGGTGAAGCGCGGTTGGGGTTACTAATTCCATTTTCTTAGTTGTTGTTGATTTAAACTGTCAAAATCTCTTAAATAAATGTCAGTAATACTCACTTTTCTAGAAATAATTTCTTCTGTGCTTTCAAATTTTTTTCATAAAGTTAATGGTATACTTATGATTCTCTTCAGTGTCTGTAGTTATGTCCTTTTTTGTTTATCTAAATACTATTCGTGTGGCCCCCGTTTTTTCTGATTAGTCCTTGCTAGAGGTTTTTCTTGAAGGTTTTGACGCAGCCTACAGCAGCTTCCTGGAGGGACTGCCACTAGCTGTTTGCTGTCTGGCTGTGGCTTCACCTCCCCTAACAGTGTGTGCTTACTTACTTTTTATACTTTAGAATAAGCCCGTAGCTTTAGCGCTGCTATGTTGCTACTCTCCGAACTGCTCATTCTCTTCTGTATTTTCTCCTTTTGCTAGGTCTCTTGTGCTGGTTACTACCGATAGTTTTCTTTATTCTGCTTACTCACTTTTGTGTATCACTTTGAGAAAGAACACAATGTTAGCAAATTATTCATTATGCATTTACTGAACATAGTTATAAGTGCCTACTTTACACTGGGTGTTACAGGAAATACTGAGAGTAAAGAATGCAAAGATTGTTCATATTCAGATTTTTTTCTATACTGCTACATAGTGAAATAAATGACATTTTCTATTTTATTTCAGTTATGTAATCAGAGGTGCTCCATTTTGAAATAAGTTTCTAGACAATTGGATATTTCCATACAGTATTATAACAATATAACTGACATCCAAATATAAAACCATGGCAAGACTACTGCGGCATTTTTAGTATTTCAGTTGAACTTTAAAATGTCCTGGCCTCATAAAATGTTTTCATAAAGGAATTTTTCATCATTTTAAATTTATTATAAACAGCTGTCAGAAAATTCAGTTTTGACTTGAAATGTTGGCCAACAGCCTACATGGCAGCTACACCAAGGGCAGCTCGACACTTTCAGAAAATAACCCCCGAGTGAATACAACACTCAAATCAAAGTGTCTCTGCTTTATTTTACTGGATAGTTTTGCTTAAAAATCTCTAATTTAACAAAGCAAAAGGTAGCTGCCACTATTCCTCAGTATAAAAGCTTTTCCAAGGCCAGAAAAAAAAGACTGAAGTTTTGCAACAAAAACTGGCAAATTTGCACCAGGATGAAGGGACCTAGGAATACATTCCAAACTCCAAAAATGCAACCTCGGTTCTGAACTTTTTTTTTTAATACCATAGTTGGGCTATTTACAGTATTGGTCCCAGTGAGGGAAGACTGTTAATAATAATAGTAATACACACCTATGTTGTTTACTATGTGACAAAAATTGTTCTAATATAAACACAGATGAAACCTCATATTACAAATTTAAGAAACTGGCAATCTTGTCTCCTGCTGTTAAAAGCCTATGGTTAGAGACTGCTTAAGAAGTATGAAGAGTGGGTGGTACATGTCTATTTCTTTCCAAACACGTAGGCAGACAAAAGGCACAGTAGTTGAAGAATGCCAGGACTAAGCAACCCAGTGGTGCGTTCTTTCTGACATACATAAAACCCTTCGTGCCACGTTTCTTCAGGTGTGCTGGGTTTGACTATAAGAAAATTAATGATTGGAGCCAGAAGTTAATCGTATACAGTATGATGAAAAGTTCCTCCAGGAAGAGCCACATTTGCAAACCAGCTTAACTCAACCCCGCTGACACTTCTGTTAAAACTTCACATTGATGGCGCAGCAGTTAAAGATATAAAACTGAAACTGGTTGACTGATTTGGGGCTTCCTCTCTGGCTGCTCACGAGGCCACAAAGGGGCCCTGACACTAGTCGTGTATTTCCCCAGGTCTTTACCAGTGGAGCCCTGCTAGGGAACTTTAACAGTGTAGGGAGGCTGTGGTCAGAGCCCATCAATCAGGAGCAGGGTAGGAAACTATCTCTGACTAGAGTAGTTTAGTTCTGACTTTCAGCTGGTGCAAGTAGAGGGTAATGGCAGTTAAATTAAGACTTTCCCTACATTACTTACATTATAAAAAGTTATTCAAAGAGCACATTAATATAAGCTTTCAAAAATCACACAACAGATGTTCATTTATGCAATAAGTCAGTCATCTGTGGATGTCTGCATAACAAAAATCTACCATAACTCAAACCGTACGAACTCTACTGCTCGCTTTCGCCATTAGAATAGACACGCTGTAAATCCCAAACCCTCCCTCCACTGACCATAGTGAGATGTGGTAGACCCCTTAGCTGTGACTTCTTGAACGTTTACAGAACACTGACCCTTGATGAAAGAGACCTTTATTTTAAAAACATAATTACAGTTTAAAAAACCTAAATTGACCCAATTTCCTTTCAGAATAAGAGTTAATCCATGTTTTCAGTTTATTGCCATACACAGCATCTTATAAAACAAGAGGGGAGCCTGCCACTTCACCATCTTCATGTAACAGTGATCACTTTCTTCACTTTTAAGTATGAAGACATCTAAAGCCAGCCAATATTTTAAGTATAGGGCAGAATATTTTTTGCAATTATTCCTAAAAACTGCTGGCACATTCATTAAATGCCCCGGTTATAAAAAAAAAATCAGTATCCACTTCTTAGCCTTCAGTATATATTTTTAAATCTACATGGCATCGTATTAAATGCTGGTGGAAAAATAGTATAAGAATCTAAACTTTTTAAGTAGCACAATGATTTAAAACCAACTAGGAGAAAGCTATCCCCCGGAATATTTTTGCATGTAATTTGCTGTCCCTTACCTCAGTAACAAAGTGAAAAAAAAAAAAAGCTGTTATATCTTTAAAAAGAAGCTAAAGGAAAAGATTTCACTTTTCCTTTGAAAACACCATTTCTTAGCTCTTAAAGAGGGAAAAACTTTAATTTTGTGAGGGGCATTTCATAAGTAAAAACATCGTCTATATCCGTTGTACAAATGTCTCATTTAGGAAAGAAAGTTAATATTTTGATTCCAAGGATTTGAAAATACGTCATCACAAGAAAAGTGTAATTTTAAAGCTAAAAAACTAGCACACTGAACTAATATAAACAATCCACTAGCATATCCTATTTTTTTAATAAAAATCCATGATTAAGGAATAATACGGAAAAGATCTTTTCTGACATGTGGTCACAGCTAATTAGCCCCGGGCAAACCCCACACACCCCGAACCTCAGGATCTTCATCTCTCTCTCTCTTTTTTTTTTTTAAGAACCTGTTTATTTTCCATCAGCCTATTTTCTATTTTAAGAGTTTGTGGAAAAGCAGCTGAAGACCATTCAGTGGCCACTCCACCCCATTCAGTGGCCTGAGCAGCAGGAGCTGCCAACCAGCCTTCAGGACCCTCATCCCTTAGGTGAGGATCCTGGACTAACGGCCCTTTAACATCTCTTCCAAGTTATAAATGCGTATAGAATTGTTACACTTACATAATCCTGAGAATGGGGTGTTTCAACTCAGTGTATTTTCCAGGTAAATAAAGTTCACCGTCTACATAGTAAAGCTGTTCTTCAAACATTTAAAATCTTAATTTAAAATTTATTTTCAATGTATTTCCCTGTCAGCTTAGAAGATGAGGTACGACTAACAACTTCGTCTCCTTAATTTCATGGTCTCTCAGACCAGGCGGCTGACAGTGATCGGCAGATAAAGCTGGAGCCCAGCCTCCAGTTCTGGGCAGCTTTGGGCCACACTCAGTCTCAAAACGAAGATGATACCGCCTGCTCTGTATTGATGTTTTAAAGCCTGACAGAGGTATCATAATATACCAAGGTATTCGTGTTTTCAAATTACCATACAAATGCAAAGGGCTGTTGTGATAAGCCCAAGGTGACTTTTTCCTGATGAAAGTGTAGGTAATTTTTATAAAATGTATGTTGTCAATACTTGCACACCTATGGTTCTAATTCTTCGGTTACCTGACTATTCTCCCACAGCCAATTTGTCTCCTGTTTCTAATTATGCTTCTAATTGCACCAGTTTGTCTCTCCAAGAGTCGAGAAATCGACCTTTTGATAGGTCAAAACCAAAACCTAAAAATCTGTCACTTTAGCAACCACGATATCATTACTCACTTTAAAAGCACACTTTCCTAACTAGGTGAGGCATCGGACTCATCTAGGAAGTGTTTTAAAAATTTAGATTCCTGGGCTCCAGCTGCAGAGTCTTGATTCCGTATATCTGGAGTAGGGCCCAGAAAAACTCTCAGAAGCTCTCCCAGGTAATCTCAATAATCAATAGTTCAGTTATGGGGACTCACTGCCTTGCTCTCAATTTCTTAAATTCAGTTTAGAATTTTAGCAGCTGTTAGTTTGTCTTTCAGTATAAAAATTTCCCCTTGCATCAATCATAAGCACATTCAAAGCAGACTGCCCATGATCTTAGCTTAGCTCCATAAGAAACCAGTCATTACAACCCTTTGCAGAGTAAAGACAATGCATGTAGATACTGAAAGGTGGCTGGTTCTATACTTACGGGGCAGCTGCTGACTGCTTTAATTGTAGCTAGTCACCTAAATCTGAAGACCATCTTATTACATCTGTCACTACTACTTAAAGGATGGCAGAACTCCTCTAAAAACAGAGAAATGGCTAACTAGCTAGTCAGTATTAAGAAAATGTCTCTAGCAGACACGAAAGTATTTAAAAAAAAAAAAAAACCACCACAGAGCTTCCTGTAGAAACCCAAAGACTTTCATATTTCTGAAGTCTACCATAAAGAGAAAGTTGACCAAAACTACAGTTGTTTAAAAATATGTTCAATTAACTGTGAAAATATAAGTGTAAAATAGGTACAATTTCATCCTTTAGGAGATTTAACAGGCATAAATGGAATTCACTTTCCACTTACTCTACCCAAATAGTTAACTGTGAAATCAACACAGGAAGTATTTGGTAATAATGTAGTTCTGAACACCATCCCTTCCAAATTTAATACAAAAGCCACATCTGGATTTCTCAGGTGTCCCAAACGTATCTAGGCACTACGGAATGTTGTCATGTCTCTTGGTTCTCTGCTGGGGACACACCAGTCATCGGCCTCATGGCTGGCGTTGTAATGCTTCCAGGCAGCTCTGTTGTACACGGGGAGCCTTTCTATTGATTCTGTTGACAGAGCCTGAAAGAAGAAAGGAGGCCGGCCTAAGTCAGGCATTTTTAAAAAATCCATTATTTGAGAAAATATACAATGGCCAAAAAGAATTAAATACTTTATTGGATTTGTATTTTTATCATAACACTGTCTACATACATTTTAAAGTAGAGCATATATTTGAAACATGTTATTGGTGTGCATGTTGACTGAACTTATTGCTTGTGGTAATTCTCCAGGCAGCCTGGAAGCTGCTGGATTGATATTTTACACAGGTGTGGTAGACATCGCTTATACAACATGACCCACTGCAGAAGCTGGTTAACTGAACGTCAGTGAAGTGTAAAAGCATAAGAATTCACATACGTTCCTTAATATATGTAACTGTACGATCACTGAATGAAATCTGGATTTGATCTTGTGTCTTCTCCTGCTATTAAGGTCACCAATTTTATTTGCAGCATTTGCGATTTCTGCATCACGCACAGTTGCCCTCCACGTCACTGCCCCCACCCACCACAAATACAGAAATCTGCAGATGCTTACATCCCTTATACAAAATCGTGTAGTATGTGCACATAATGGACACATACCCTCCTGTATACTTTATCTCTAGATTGACTGTAATAGCTAATACAATGTAAATGCTATATAGTTACAAATACAATGGGAACTATTATGTAAAATAGTTGCCAGTGTGCAGCAAATTCAAGTTTTGCTTTCGGGAACTTTCTCAATTTTTTTTTCTTCAAATATTTTCCATCCACATTTGAATCTGTGGATGTGGAACCCAGGGATACAGAGGGCTGACTGTAACTTCATGTTTTCAACATATTATTATCATTAATTCACTGTTCTATTTCAGCTTCCTCTAAATTACTGGAACCAGAGGTAAACTATGTTCCTTGTTATCTTCAAGTTAGGATATCTTGGTAGGATTTTTTGACACTATTATTTAATGATTCTAATAATACTTGCTTCTATTTTTTTCCTAAATGAAGCTAGACTCAAACAAAAATAATACATTTGATGATAAAAATATTGCCATCGTATTGCCTTCAAGTCCCTCACAATTGAGATGGTTCAAAAAGAAAAATTACTATCTTGAAAGAATTTAACCTTTTCAGACAGATTTATTTTCTAATACAGTCTTCACCATTTTCTGTAAAACAGGTGCCATCTAGTGGCCAGAACAAGAAACTAGAGTACTAAATAATTAGGTACCAATAGCCCACTGCTGAACTAATCCAGTGGACTGGTAGGGCCCAGTGCTTTCCATCCCTGTAAAATATACTGATCTCTGCCTGAATAAACACACAGACTATCCCAGGCCAGTAGGGATGGCCTACTGCTCCCACCAGTGAGCTATAATGCTTATCACAAGTCACCTATAATTGTTACCATATCTGTTTATGTACTTAACATGTCATTGTAACTCCAAAACTGAGTCAAAGTATTGCTTAAACAAAGCACAAAAACAGTGGGGAAGGATTCTTCGAAAACTAAGAGGAATGCTCTGTAAATACCCATGAAGGAAAGCTACATAAAAACTGCTGTCAAATAAGGCTCGAAAGACAAGTAAGGAACTGTGTAAAAATCAAAAAGGATCATGCGCTCAGTTGTTTCTTTGATTAAAGAAACCAGAACAATGCACTGTAAGTATAGCTTCTGAGCAAAGACGACTGAAACTTCAATCTGCAAACCTGTATACAAAGGAAAGGCCTTAGCAAGTGCATCAAAAGACCGGTGAGTCAATGCCCATTCACGTGTCTTATGTTTCAATTAAATTTGTAAGTTTTTTTTTATAAGAGAACTTCTTGATTCTCCCACTTTAATCCATTTTTTTTCTGTGAACCATAGTCAATCACCGTAGATAAGAACATTTCTTTCCCATAGTCAAAGATCATTTATCAAAATAGATGAGATTCTATGTAAAAAAAAATATATATATATATATTTTTTTAATTTAATAGCATGAGGTAGAGGAAAATTTCAGTACTGTTAAATATTGGCATCTTATAAGAAGACTATATAGTTTTACCTTAATGTAGATAACTGCGTCTGTCCCATAACCCTCTAGGGAATACAGCTTTAGGTCCCCTTGGAAGTACTGTGCGTAAAGGCGGGATATGGGCAATCCATACCCAAAACCAGCCTGTTGGAGAAAAATGAAATTCTTTTCAGAAAGCCACACACCGAAACACTTTTCCAATTAAAATAAATGCTACTGGAGGATCCCAGGGCTATCAGAGCCTGAATTAAAAGATCTGTTACGTTATTGCTGAGAGCTAGTTGAGTACTGCATTAGGCACTTCCCTCTAGTCATTTAAAACTCCTCATTCTTCTTTTTTTCTATATAACTTGTGGGGGTCTGGAAAAAGCCTGTTGCTTTTCTTTATGAGGCTGCTCCAGAGTATCCCAACACTGCTTTCCGCAGTATCATCTAAAACATGTTCTCCCTTTCAGGAGCAAGAGTAGAAAGAGCCTGGTTGCAGCCTAACAGATACATCTCCGGCCTCCGTACCGTGAATTTCCAGCTTGTGTTTGAACCTGGAGAGCTCGCTAATAAGTCTACTCAATTCTCACCGACAGGTCACTTCCCTGCTTAAAAATCCTCAAAGTACCCTAACACCCACCAGACCCCCACCACCCCCAACCCATTGCGTTGAGGGAAAAATCCAAGCTTCTAAAAAGAGCTTTCAAGACCCAGTAATATCTGGTCTCGGCCTCCCACTTTCCAGCCCAGTTGAACTAAATCTCCTGCTCTTAAGCTCCTCAAACAGATCATGTTATTTTTCACATCTGCATCTTTGTTCATTCTGTTCCAGTATCTGGAATGGCCTTCTTTACCTGGATAAATCCTACCAGTTCTTTAATACAAAGGAGAACATTCAGATAAATGTAAAAAAGGTTATTTATCACCAACTCAGTGTTCAATAACATTCCATACAATACATTAGTGAAGAGAGTATGTGGATTCAGGAATCAGAGTGCTGTTAACATATCTGGGGTCTGGCCTTATCTACCTCTACCATTTATTACTTGACTTTTTTAAACCAGTTTCTGTTTGCCCTTTCAAATCAACTATCTGTCCTGCACATTTCTCCTTGTTCTGGAAGGCTCACCTGAATGGAAGATACCAGTGGATTCCCATGCCCTCTACTTCCAGTGGGTCCGGTCAGTGGGGAATCCAGTGGGAGATCAGAGGGAGTCAAGTCAGGCTACTTATCCCCTGCCTCCTTCCCACTGAGATCACTTCCCCTGGGCAGGCTGGGCCCTGGAGAGTAGCTGCTCTGCAACTTGCCCTTCTGGGTTCTGCAACCTCTCCTCCCTTTGGCTCAGGGTGGTGACAGCTCTGCTGCTGTAAGCCTGGATTCCTGTACTTTCCCACCCATATCTCTGTAATCTGCCTCTTTGGAGATAAGCCTTCCTTGATTTACCATAATTTGAGTTCTCTTTCCAGGTGGGACCCTGACCGATGCATTAACTGGTTCCAGAAATGGTCCCAAGAACACTGCATGAGCAGCGTGAAGACATTCCATCCGTGTAGATGCCCAGGAGAAGGCATCCACATGGAGGAAGCGCCCAGTAATCAGGTAGACAAGAGGACCACTCCTGTGGATGTCAAGCAGCCTCCTCCCAGCTGCCCCAGTGCTCGCTTACTGGGTCCACTTACAAAGCGGTCATGACATCAGGAAGGAGCCTCTGTAAGAGCTTAGACAGACTCACCCTCCGTAAGGCTGTGCAGGTGTACAGGGGAGCCTGTGCCATGTCAAGTCTCCTGTTTTCTTAAAAATTCACATAAATTTTGCATCTGAAACAACACTTACATGGCATTTACTATGTGCCAGGCACTATAAAAAGTATGTTTACATACTAACTCGATTGTCACAATAATTTGATTTTTAAAGTTGGGGAAACCACAGTATTGAGTGGTCAGTAATTTTCCCCAGGGCTATACAGCTAGGATGCAGTTGAGCTGGGGAATGGGCCAGACAGATTCAGAGCCCGGACTAGTACGCTATGCTGTTCTCCACAAAAAGTCCACAGTATTTCTTTACTACATAAGCAGTATATCCCTTTTCTCCACTTACTTCTAGAGTAAAATCAGGATCTAAGAAGATGCTCGTGTTTATTTGACCTCTTCTGTCCCCTGTCATATGGACACCTGCCCACATCTCAACTTGAGAAGCACATTACTAGAGGAATAATTTCAACAGTTTGGTAAGAAATGAACTGTATTACAGTTGGAGCCACAGAATCTGTGCTGTGTAACCAGAATGAAGTCCTCTTAGTAACATCCCAGGAAACAGTCTAAAAGAGACCCACCTTATACTGTATTTCATCATGTTACAGCTTAACTCCAGCATATATGCCAGAGAAGCTTCAAAGCCTGGAAGAGCAGTTTTCCCAGAACTGAGGGATATGGCAAAGTGCTTTTCCAGGGGTTGGAGGACCAGAACTAAGTCCGTTCAAACACTAATCTTACTAAACCTGAAAATAGGTGACTATGATAAACTGAAAAAAAAAGAAAAAAAATCAACACAACTCCAGTTTGAAACATTTTCAGGTTGGTGATCAAACTGATTAGAACTCTAGCCTTACTTTTAAGCCTAGAATATGTAATCTAATTACAAGTACTTGAGGGGAAAAAAAGCCACTAAAGATTAAACCATTGTTGACTAAATGCCAGTAAAGCTGGTAATTTGGGCTTCACATTAGAGATAGTGTATCAAAATGTGGTTTACCACATGAGAACTACTGACATACCACTATTAGGCTTGGCAACAGGAACTCTAAGATTATAATTCTTTGCCTTACGCTTTTTAAAAATTTTTAATTTAAAAAGTGGTTTTCTTTCCCTAATAGCTTCCCTTCATCCTTGTGGTAAACCCTACACAATAGCTTAACTGATTTATGTGGTAACTGATGTATTTTTTGACAAGTCACAAACACACTTCAGGACTTCCTGACCACGTACCAGAGGCACTGCTCGGGATGTCTCCACGCGAGGTCGGGGTGCAGTTGAGTACATGTAGTTGAAGAGCCTGTCAATTTTCCTCAGAGGAACACCACCTCCGCGGTCGCTCATCTAAGGTGAGAAAGGATCATGCCCTATGACCAGGTCCCACCAAACAGCAAAACACCGACGCACACACAGTGCTGGCTGAAGAGCTCTGCTTTTCAAAAACGAATACCGTGCGATGCAAGTTGTGAATGTAAACGTTCCCCTCACTAGTGGAGCTAACTCCTCTAATATGTAGAATTCTAAGACATAATGAATTCCACTGTGATATAAACTCAGCACCCTGGCTTGTGTGATTACTGCAGTCACACTGATGAACCAGTACAGCACACAATGGGGCAAAGCTAAGCCCAACTTGGATGTAATAATAAATTTCTAATTCCTTTCTGGCAGGCAGTTTGATAACCAGATTAAAAATGCATGTACCCTTCGACCCAACAATGTTTATCCTAAGAAAACAATCAGAAAAGTATGCAAGACATGTATAAGAATATCTATCAGCTCTGTGGAGAATAGCTAACACTGGGCTGCCACCCCAAGTTTAGTTTAAACTAAACTAAAACGCATTCTGAAATAGAACACTGCTTCTCCACTCAGTACCCTGTAGAGCGGTATGTGCCGGCACGAGATGTGCACAAAATACTAAGTAGCAACAAGATATGAAGAAGCATTTATAATATTCTAATTCTGTAAAAATTTTATTACAAAAAAAGCCTATAATGAAATAATTTTGTCAGTGGAATTATGAGTGATTTTCTTTGAGGTTTTTAGTTTCTAAATTTTTTTCACAATTACTTCTACTATGGAAAAATGTAATTTTCATTTCGAGGGAGGAAAAAACAGCCATTTCCTTGTGTTTTAGAGTCTCTCCTAGCAGTAATTTCACATTACAGACTCCCAGACAACTTTCTGGTGAGTTGTAAGGTACACAGGACTTTGTACTGTTCTTACTCATGTCACTTTCCAACTCAAATCATATGGTAGGCTGAATTTGGTAACTTATTTTCAGACTGTCTTCATTATGTTTTCCTAGCTACTATACAGCTTATCTTCTAATCTGCTACAGCCATTTTCCTTTGTCACAAAATCTAAGTTGATTCTACTCTATAATATTAACATGGTCGTCATATACAAGCAAACCTGCTTTTAACACATGTATATAGATAGACAGATGAGAACAATACTATGTATTAAAAAGTCAATATTTGAATGGCTTATAGTTTTTATGTAATCTCTAAAAATCTTTATGTATATATATTTCACAATGTAAGTTCATACTATTTTTAGAATAAAAATCTTTGAAATACTGTCTGAAGACTTGCCTCTGATATATCTATAACTAGATAATAAAGTTCGTCTGTATTCTTATACTGCAGTTAAGAACTTGTATGTAGCATTACCCTGAAATTGTTCTTGGCTACGAATTCAAAGCCCTGTGAAGAGATTTATTTTAATAAGATGAATAAAGTGCTCTGGGAATTTTCTGAGATTCATTAATTTAATTATTCATCCTTTAATTTAACGCCCTGCTGCACACTTACTGGTAACATAAGTCCAAAATGTGGTTCTGTAAATATTAAGTAAACAACACTTGAGAACAGATATTAAGATTTAAAAGATACACTTCAACAAATATTTCCTGGTTTCCTTAACCTTCCATCCAGAAACACTATAGTAACCCTGCAGGAATGAAACAAGAAGTGATTTCTAACTATCTAAGCTGGTATGAAAAAAGCAGAGAGTGGAGCAAAAAAGGCCAGAGGTGAAGGGGTACTCTAAGCCGTAGACATATAGTTAAAAACTGATAAAGGTAAGCTCTTCTGATTTGCAGGCAAAAACACAATACACTGGAACCAGAAGTTTCTAAAGTGGTTGAAAGAGTTTCCAAGAGAATTGTAACAGATACTACACCAGAGAACCTGAGTTCTTTGCGGAAATGGAAGGAGGGAATAACAGAGACAGACTTTGGTCTGTATATTTTTAAGACAAGAACAGCACTCTGATGACAAATATACTGAGAAATTGATATGGAAATTAAACAAACCTCTGATTAAGATTATTTGAATAAAAAGTCTAGAATCACAGGAACATAAGCCTATGACAAGGAAAAGGGAAGAGACCATGAAAGAGAAGGGTGGCATGGAATGTCAACAGAAAGGCAGAGGAAGAGAAGTTTGTCAATTATCTTGAAAGTTTTCTCCTCCATGCATGAAATCACCACTTCTCAAAGTCATCTGACTGAGAGCTGCCATCCTTAATGTCCTGTTTCCTGTAACACTGGGCTCCCTGGGCTAATATATGTGGATTTTCAGGTCCAAGGGAAATGAGTCACTACTAACTTGATGACAGCTCTGAAGGCAGGAAATTTACTAACCCAGAGGTCCTGAAGTTTCTTATTCAACAGCTTTTTCAAGGTCAGGTTTGCAAAATCACCAGTAGTGAATGAACCAATACATTTAAATTTTAATTTAATAGATGTGGCTATAACACCAAACACCAAATCTGAAAGAGGAGTTAGACTTGTAAGACAGAAATAAACAATTCTCTCACAGGGTTCTTAGTAGAGGGATAAAAAATTTTTAATGTCAATAATTTAAACAAGCTTAAAGAATGGAGGAGGAAAAAGCCCTAAGCCTTGAACCTGGAAGTCTAGAGTAAGTGATGGGGATGACAGCTCTACGGAAGAAAATTAAAGCAAGCATGTAACATGTAAAGAGCTAACAAGAGTAGATGCAGTCACATGACCTGGATGTGACGAGGCAGAGCCTAAGGTAAGGGCTGTCACACAGGCTTCTGGAACAGTCTGTTCAAGACCCTTTCTTTTTGAAAACAGCTTTACTTAAATATGATTCACATACCATGCAATTCACCCATTTAAAGTGTGTAACTCAGTGGTTTTTAATATATAGGCATACCTCGGAGATATTGCAGGTTCATTTCCAGACATCACAATAAAGTAAATATCACAATAAAGTGAATAACTTGAATTTTTTGGTTCCCCAGTGCATATAAGTTATGTTTACACATATACTGCAGTTTGTTAAGTGTGCAATAGCATTAGGTCTAAAAAATGTACATACATTAATTTAAAAATACAAAACAACAACAAAAAAACAATTACAATAGTAACATCAAAGATCATTGGTCACTGTAAAAAATATAATAATGAAAAGGTTTGAAATATTGTGAGAATTGCCAAAATGTGACACAGAGAAATGAAATGGGCAAATGCTGTTGGTAAAATAATGCCGACGGGCTTGCTCAATGCAGGGCTGCCACAAACCTTCACCTTGTAAAAAATGTAGTATCTGCAAAGTGCAATAAAGCGAAGTACAATAAAACCAGGTGTGCTGTATTCACAGCTATGTGCAGTCACCACCACAGTCGATTTCAGAACATTTTCATTACCTCAAAAGAAACTCTGGATTCTTTACTGATTACAACCACTGATCTATTTCTTGTCCCTACGTATTTGTCTATTCTGGACTTTTCATATAAATGAAATCATATAACATGTGGCCTCTTGTGACCAGTTTCTTTCACTCAGCATATTGTTTTCAATCTTGTAGCATCCCTGTTGTAGCATGTACCAATACCTCATTCCTTTTACAGCCAAATAATATTCCACTGTACAGGTAAACCACATTTTGTTAATCTATTCATCAGCTGATAAGCATCTGGGTGTTTCTAGCTTTTGGCTATTGTGAATCATGTTGCTATGGACACTGAGATATAAGTTTTTGCTTAAATGTCTGTTTTCAATCCTTTGGGGTATACACCTACGAGTGGAATTGCTGGGTTATGATGAACCTTTCTTTATACTAGAGTCTCTAACCAGCACAGAATGAGTCTCTGTTGAGTGCCTAAGAGCTCAGTGACCCTGGATCCATGCAGTGTTGGATGACCATAAGTAATGCCAAGGATCTGCAGACAAGCCTGAGAAAGCACATGAAACAAACAGAAAAGGGTACAGGGAAGACCATGCTGTAGCACAGCTGAAGCCCCAAAGCAGCAGACATCTGGGACTTGTGAATCAAATAAACCTTAATGGGCAAGTAGGTGACACATAACTAACCAAAAAATAGACACACATTAGCATCTGGGCTGAAAAAAGTGACACATTCGCATTACTTCTGCAGCAAACAGATGGTATTACCATATATTTATTTGTGCCTCACTCTTTTACATAAATAGCCAAGAGGGATACACAGAAAAAAGAAATTCAGAGGAAACAGTGCAGAGAGCTAAGGTATATTAATTTTTTAAAAAAACAACCACTATTACTATCTTCAGAGTGATAAAAGAAAATAAAGTCAGAGCACAAAACTATAAAAAAAGAATAATAAAAAATAAAAGTTCCTGGAAATTTAAAATAAGATAATGGAAATAAAAATTCAATAGAAGAGTTGGGAATTCAAAGTCAAAATGAAAAATTAACAATACAAAAAACAAGAGAAAAAAGATAAATCAAAGGGTCATTTCATAAAGCCCAACATCTTCCAAATATGACTATCAGAAAGAAACAGTAAAGAAGAAAATATCAAGCAAACAGCGGGAATCCTAAAGGGCCCAGTTCAATGGGTACAAAAAGACCCACATGAAGTCACAACACTATGAAATTTAAGAAAAGAGCTGAAGAGCTTAAAAACTTCAATTAAACAAAACAACAAAACCTGTCGCCTAAAACTAGTCATATACAGAGGAACACAAAGTGGAGTACACATAAGTTTTCTCAAAAGGAACAGCAGGAGTGACATCAGCAAAAACAATGGAGAAGGGAACGCCAGCAAGTCCTCCATCAAAGCAAAACGCAGAAATGGTCAGAACTCTGGGAACTAACCAAAGGCGTGTATCAATCTAGGGAGCATTTACTCAAGGAAAACAACAAGCTTTGTGGTGTTTTAACTTGGCTTATTCCCACCTCCCATCCCTACAGCATCAACAGCTTGCAGAGTGAAACCAGCAGCCTAGCAACCACTGGGGAGACTGTCTTTCTTTGACCTGATTCTGAGCTCCCCAATGCAAAAAATCTTGCGCGCACCCACTGCCCCTCCATCCTCAGAAACACTTGTCAAAAAAAATTAGAGATGACTGATTAATTTAAGGGCTGCATGAGGCAGTGTACAACAGTTAAGGCAAACAATAGGCTATCCATAAACTTAACAGGAAAAGCTCAGGAATGAGATGTCCATAGGGGCTTAGAAAAGCTCAAGAATATCCTGGGAATCTAGAAGGTCATGCTCATGCCCAGGGCTGTGTTCAGGAAAGACCTGAGAGGGTTCACTTCTGACTAACCTTGACGCTCTGTACAAGGAGAACCTAAAAGTTAAGTCAAAGTTGTCAACTGTCTGGCTGAGTATTGAAGGTGTGCCCCAATATTAATAGAGAGTCCCTTGACAAAGACTGGGAGAAGGCATTTAAGGAAATCTCAGTTCAACCATTAGCCGAACCAAGCAGGAAGCACACACAACGAAGAATATAGACTTTACAAAATCAGTTTTAAAAAGTCACTAAACAAATAACAATGACCAACTTTAGGGAGAAGGGAAGTATCTGATCTTCAGAGTTGTTGCATTATATAATTTTAAATGTCTAATTTTTCAACAGAAATTATACAACATATAAAGAAATAAGAAAGTATGGTCCACACACTGGGGGAAAAAGGAATCAACAGAGACTCAACCCGAGGAAACTCAGATTTATTAAACAAAGACTTTAAATCAGTTATTTTAAATATGTTCACAAAACTAAAGGAAACCATTTCTAAAGAACTAAGGAAAATATGAGGATAATGTCTCACCAGGTAAAGAAAAGCAATAGAAATTATATAAGAGAACTAAGTAGAAATTCTGGAGTTGACAAGTATAATAACCAAAACAAAAATTCACTAGAAGGGCTCAACGGCAGATGTAAACATGTGGAAGAAAGAATCAGCAATAGTGAAGACAGGTCAATTAAAATCACCCAGTCTGAGAAACAGAAAGGAAAAAATGAAAAAAAAAAAAAAAAGAACAAAGCATCAAAGACCTGTGGGACCCCATCAAGTTAGCAACATGCATATACTGGGAATTCCAGGAGGAAAGAGAGAAAGGGGCAAAAAGAATATTTTAAGAAATGATAGCTGAAACTTCGTAATTTTGATGAAAAAGATAAAGCTCTTCAAACTCCAAGTATGATAAACTCAGGGAGATCACACTTGGACAGATCATAATTAAACTGTAAAAGCCAAGAGCAAAGAATCTTAAAAGTAACAAGAAAAGTGACTCATCACATACAAAGGATTCCTAACAAGATTAGCAACTAGTTTCTCATCAGAAACCATGAAGGCCAAAGTCAGTGAGATTAACAATTTCAAAAAAATGAATGTTGAAAGGAAAAGACTATCAACCAAGAATTCCATAGCCAGAAAAATTATCCTTCAGAAACAAAGGAGAAATTGAGACATTCTCAGGTAAGCAAAAGCTGAGAGTGCATCATCACTGGTAGACCTCCCTCATCAAGAAATACTAAAGGGACTCCTTCAGCCTGAAATGAATGAGCCACAGACAGTAAATCAAATCAACGTGAAGAAATAAAAAGAACCAGGAAAGGTTAACCATATAGGTAAACATAAAGGACAGTTTAAATGTATTTTTTGTTGGTAACTTTTTTCTCCCGTATTATTTAAAAGAGAATTGCATAGAGTAGTAATTATAAGTCTGTATGGATGGGCATCTGATGTATAAAGATGTATCTTACATGACAATAATGACACAAAGGATAGGGAGCGGGAGGGAACAGACCTATATAGGATCAAAGTGTGTATACTATTGAAATTAAGTTGGTATTAATCTGAACTAGATTGTTATAAATAAAAATGTTAATTCTAATCCCAGGACAATCCCTAAGAAAATAACGCTAATAGAAGTGAAAAAAAAAACAAGGAGAAAATTAAAATGATAAGCTAGAAAACACTGTAACAAAAAAAAGGCAGCAGCAATCTTGAAATAAAGGATCAAAAGAGACATATACAGAAAACAAATGACAAAATGGCAAACATCAATTCTACATTAACAATAATTATGTTAAATGTAATTGGCTTAAACTCTCCAATTAAAAGATGGACACTGACAAGATGGATTAAAAAAAATGATCAAACCATATGTTATTCATAAGAGACACACTTTAGATTCAAAGTAAGAGGCTGAAAGTAAAAGTTTGGAAAAATACACACCATGAAAACAAAAGCCAAATCAGAGTTGGGATGGTTGTAGTAATACCAAACAAAATACACTTTAAGACAAAAATTGTTAACAGAGACAAGGAAATTTTATAACGATAAAAGGTCAATACATCAAGAAGATAAAAAAAATTATAAACATATATACACTTAACAACTGAGCTCTAAAATATATGAAGCAAGAACTGACAGAATTGAAGGGATAAATAGACAATTCAGCACTAAGAGTCAGAAATGTCAATACCCCACATTGGATAATGGGTACGAGTAGACAAAAGATTAACAAGGAAACAGAAGACCTGAACAGCGCTAAACCAACTAGACCTAATAGCTATTACAGAACACTCCACCAACAGCAGCAGAATATACATTATCCTCAAGGACACAAGGAACATTCTCCAGGATAAACCATATGTTAGGCCATAAAACAAGTCTCAATAAATGTAAAAGAACTGAAATCACACAAACTATGTTTCTGGCCAAAATGGAATGAAATTAGGAATCAACAACAAAACAAAAGGTGGGGAATTAACAAATACATGGAAATTAAACACACTCCTAAATAATCAATGAGTTTAAGAAGAAATCACAGGGAAGTTAGAAAACACTTTGAGACGAATGAAAATGAAAACAATATAAAAAATTTGTAAGATACAGAAAAAGCAGTGCCTACGGGGAAATTTAGAGCTGTAGAATGTCTCAAATCAATAACCTAAATTTCCACCTTAAGACACTAAAAAAAGAGCAAACTCCAAAGCAGACAAAAGGAAGAAAATCATAAAGATGAGACTAATAAAATAAATACAAAAACAACAGAGAAAAATCAATGAAACAGAAAGTTGGTCTTTTGAAAAGATTAACAAAATTGACAAACTTTTAGCTAGACTGACTAAAAAATAAGTGAGAAGACTCAAATAGAGAAAATGAGGAATGAAACTAGGGACATTACTACCAACCCTAAAAAAGTAAAAAGGATTATGAGGGAAAACTATGAACAACTGGATGCCAACAAATTAGCAAACCCAGGGAGATGGACAAATTTTTAGAAAGGCACAAACTACAGAAACTGACTCAGGAAGAAATAGAAAATCTGAATACGCTTATAAAATGTATTATTTTATGAATCTTATTATGAAATGTCCTAAATAGGGAAATCCATACATAGAAAGTAGATTAGTGGCTGCGAAAGGCTGAGGAGAGTGGGAAATGGGGAGTGACTGCTAATGAGCATGAGTTTTTTCTTGGGAGTGATGAAAATGTTCTGAAATTACACCATAGTATGGTTGCACAACCTTATGAATATACTAAAAACCACTGAATCATATTACTCAAAAAAAAAAAAGGAACAGTAGATGCCTTCCAAAGTTCTGCGAGATGATTATTTCTAAATCTAGAATTCCATGTATGAACCTGAGTACTGGGAAGATGACAACTGAGGCTGGGGGCGTGTGGAGAGGGGAGGTGCTCTAAGAGAGCTAACCCCTCAGCCACCAGAACTGAAAGCTAATATTTGCTGTTTAAAATTTTTATTTCAGAAATAGCAATATCAGAATACTACTTTAAAATACAGTAATAAATATCAGAATAACAAGAAGACTATCTCTGAGTAGTGACTTACAAAGGGCAAGGAACTGACATATTTGGTCTCTATACTCTCTGTATTTATTAATTTAATACAAAATTTTAAATGATTATTTGAAAAAGAGAAACATCATCATACTCTAAGATAGTAAAATGTAGTAGAAATAGCCTGGAAGTAGGGTCAAAGGACTGATTTCACGTCATGTGTCATTTATTGGCTGTCTAATAATAATGAACTAATCACTATGTGTGGTTTCAAATCTATAAAATTGAGAATAAAATTACCTGTCCCTCTAACTAAAGAGCTGTTATGAAAATCAAAGGAACCAATTAAAATCAAAGTAGACCGAAAACCATTGTTTAAAAATGAAAAACTATGTGCTATCTATATACTACAAATACCCAAATATTTTAGGTTTCACTAATCAAAGTGGATATCAAAGTGGACATCCATGATTCTGCTAAACTGTCTGTCTCCAGTATGTACTTTAATTTCAATCATCTGGGCGAGGGACCAAAATAGAAACAGATTCAAGAGAAAATTTCATAACCTGCCAGATAAATGAAGCAATGTGCTTATTATCTATTAGGAATAAGATTTCTTTTTCCTAAGAATAAAGAATGTCTTCAACAAAGTATGCATATGCCTGTACATCAGCTAAAACAAAAAAACAGCACTTACCTTCACAGTCAAATCCTCATTACCCAGTGTGACGTGGACTTGAATAGGTGGGTAAACACCTTTGTCAGCGTGGTGCTCCATTGTCGCTCTCATTGCATTCTGAAATACATTAAGGTTACATTAAAAACACAACTTTACAGAAAGAGAGAAACTAATAATTTTCAACTACATATGCACTACTTGAAATTTTTAAAAATTTAATTCAATGTAAATATGCCAAAGAATCATAATTCTTATAACCATATTGAAAGAATTAGTTTTTTAAATGTCAGTTTTAGAGAACTTGGTAGATATTTAGAGATCCTAAATAAATTCTGCATATTTTCCAAACCAGCCACTTTTAACTAGTTATACATTAAAGCAGAAATTTCTACCCAAATATTTTTATAATTTGGTAGATAACAGGCAACCTTATTTTTGAAAACAGTTTCATCTCTATTTTTAAGAACCATTTTAATTGTCATAGATTGCTTTAAGAAAAAACAATTTTTTTCATATAGTATTAATAGTAAGTCTTAATATGATGTAGAAATGAATCTAATTTACCACTAGTTTGAAGTTAGGATATTTACAATTTAAAACTGTTTTGATCTATTTCCAAAGGAAACAGGGTACATAATGCCAACATATCATAAGCACTAAGTGGTAACACGACATGCAGTGCTGGAGTAGAAACTGCTGAGGCTAGATACAGTTACAAAGGCGGAAGACAGGGCTGAACGTGGAAATAAGAGTGTGTGGCCCTGGCATACCAATCGGGATCAAGTCCCCTAAGGAGGAGAGTCTGTCATCTCCACCAAGGGCCATTTAATCAGGTTCCAGATGGAAGCCATTATTATTATTGACATACTGTAAAATTTGTTACACCATATGGCAATACTTCTCTTATTAAGCATCATGGGGAACAAGATCTTCATGTGACGAAAATTTCAAGGAAAAAATTACTTTCAATCCTTTAGGTGCCAATTGTTTATTTAACCACTTGGGGACAAAGATTTCTGTAAGGTATTAGACATGTTCTTGCTGTCTTAGAACAAAGAGAATTCCTGAATCTTTGCTATTCTAAGACAATCAGCCAGTTTTTCTGTGTTTCAGTGTATTTTTCTTTTTCGTGATCAAGCTGAAAGCCACTTCTTCTCTCTTTCAGTCTACTCCTGGCTAAAGACATGGTAACCACACTGAGACACTACAGGCTTGACTGGGGTAGTCATTTTCAGTCACATGAACCCATACCACTCCTCATTACTTTCCTGTCTACCAGCAAGTGTCAAAAAATGTACTGTCAACATTACCAGCATAATTTTATATAGTTTTCAAAATTTGTTGTAAAGTGCAAACATAACAGCAGAAGTCCTGTAACTCTACATAAATGATTTTTTCAAAAAAAAAAAAAAAGCATAACAGTGGGACTGTGGTCCTTTAAGGGTGGAAAGTTGAGAATAGTTCTTCTAAATATTTTGTTTTGTAAAAATATAAATAAAACTTTATTGAGCACCTATAGTGTGCTACCATTGTACTGGACACTTAGTATGTTATTCTCAATTTTCATAACAACCTGGATAGGATTATCCTCATTTTACAGAGGAGGAAACTGAGGCATGACTTGCCTAAGGTCACACACATGTTAAGTGGCAGAACTGGAATTCAAACCCAGGTGTTTCTGGCTCCCAGGTATGAGCTGACCACTTCACTGAGGGGCCCATCAGTGTTGACAAAAAGCTTATATCTCCAGCGTTGTGGCATGACACTGAACATGAAATGATACACTTTCATGAAACTGAGGAAAGCCTGGTGGCGTATTTAACTTTCAGAGCAGATTCCTAACCTCAGGAAAGGACTGATAAAGGTGATGTAATACTATTTTACAAACCTTGAAAAGTTCAAACATCATGTGATAGAGATGGGATGGTACATAAACCACTTGTATTGGCTGTCCTGGTGATTTTGCTACAGAGCAGAAGAGAAAAATATGAAAGTACAGAGAGATGTGCTTAGAGCATTTTCAAGAATATATTGTGTGGATGAAAAGAAAACATTTACTATGGAGGACAGTACTATCTGGGGGAGAAGGGCCGCAACAGTCCTCTACTGCATCAGTGTTTGAACTTCACGCTCACACAGATTTATAACTGCCTGTGGCAACATGAGCCCTGCAGTCACTCTTGTAATCCTGCAAAATAATCTACCAACCCATCTTCCCATTCTTTTCTATGACACTGAGACTGTTTAAAGGACATTCGGTCTTAAGTCTGGAATCTTACTTTCCAAAAAGAAGTGTTATTATCTATAAATTCCATGGTCCAACTCACATACATACATCTTTTCTTTAAAAAGTCATTTTTTAAATGTTTCACCCAGGTGGAATGTTTTATTTTAGGCATTTCTATGGATATAGATCCAAATAAAAACTTTGAGCTAGCATCAATTTATCAAGGGATACTAATTCTACATTTAAACATTTAATTGGAGCCCAGGTAGGGACAGAGGGCAGATGATGAGTAGAGCAGAACTTTCAGTAAAGGAGTTAAGACTCATCATACCTTAGAATTCTAATCCAGCCCATAAACTGGATTCTCCACTGAATAAACTGTCCCTTGGAAACGTGGATGGGACATCTGGAAACTGCCCACAGCAACTTAGGTTCCCAAACTATCACTTGTGCATTATGGGCCAGAAGACTGAATATGGCTTTAGAAAAACACCAGGCAATTCCACTGCCCTGCCACTCTAAGGTCCAGAGGACAGCTCAGTATAAGCCTATGTAATTTTAATCTTTTTTAAGGGTCATTTTAACTTAAGAGATGCTTTCCCCTCCACCAAACTACCCTACCTCTAGGAAAAACAGGGAGGGAGACTCAGCAATCGCCTTCCAAGGCATCTAAATCTCTTTGGTCCAAAAGGCACTAATCAGGGTAAAAAGAAGACCATCAGAGATAAACAGACTCCCCAGTAGATGAGCATCCTTCTTTCCTCTTTTGTATCTCCAGTCTTTTCACTTCCTTGACAATAAACAATGGTTTACAACTCAGGAAGTAGACATCTTAGAGGGCAAACCTTACACCACTGAAGTGCATATAAAAGTCAAATGTAATTTTCTTGTCATCAATTTTTTCTATGACTAACCAGAAAATCAAAAATAAGCAAAGAATCAGTATTAAATCCATTAAAAATAAAGAAAATAGGGAATAAAAAGCAAAAATGTCTTTTAGGAAGAATCTAACTAAATTAAAAAATATATATGTACACATATACACATATATACATCTTTTTTAACACTATTTGCTCTCCCTCAGCTTTTATATCCAATGAAGAAGTTGATGAAAAGTCCTTTTATAATAAAACAAATCTAAGTTCTTCTTGTCATTCCTTCTCAGGTAATCACAACACTAATCATTGAGGAAAAGACAACAGGCTTACCATTTAGTTCTTCAAGTTCTAGTTCGGGAGAGTTAATATAATACAAATCACACAGACGCCTAGCATTTTCATAGCCATCTAGTGTGAATCAAAACAAAAAAAGCATTAAATAAATTTACCTCTGCTTCATGCATTAAGATGGCAATAGTATAGACAAATGAAATTTTTAAAACTTTCTATAGAAGAAAATACACTTCAGTAATCTTAGTTCGGGGAAGGTCTTTTTAAGTATGACAAGACAAAGCCTAAATGCCATAAAGGAAGAATGACAGATACAATTACAAAAAAATTGTAACATCTGTATGGGAAAAGACACAATTAACAAAGTAAAAAGAGAAACAGCAGGCTGAAGGAACTATTTACAGCACATACAACAAAAATTTAGAGTTGGTAAGGGTTTAGGGAACAGCCACTCTCATTCATCATTTGATACATTTTTGGAGGTATCAAAATTTTAAATGCATTTTAAGTATTTTAAATTCTAGGAATCTTGCCTTCTAAAATACTAGCAAAAGTCAGCCCATATCTAAGGATGTTTGTTCACTGCAGTATTGCTGGTAACAGGAAAGATGAAACAGCCTAAACATGCATCGACAGGAGGGTGAACTAACACGTCCTGATACATCCGTGACAGCCATTCAGAGAACCTGACATATATCTACATGTGCTGAACATGCTACAGTGTTTATAAACTTATAGAAAGATACACACAGAGTGCCCCATCTTCCAAAAACCAACAATTATGTAAGTGTATGAGTACACATCGTATAAACAGAAAAAAGTTTGGAAAGAAGCAAATCAAACTATTATGAATTACAACTCCTGGCACAGGCAACAGAAAGGGAGGAGGAGGAACATTTTGAGGTAAAACATACCCTCATAACATCACCACACTTTGCCTAATAAAGCATTGTATCAACAAAACATTCACCCTATACAGAGTGCACAATTACCATTATGAAGTTATTTTTAAACCCATACATTCACTCCTACCATTCTATCTCATGATATAAATCGTTGTTTTAACAGGAAGAAATAACACTCAACAATTTTGATTTCTGCATCTTTTCTGACAGGAGAAATGTTAAGTATTTACCTTTAATAACTTCAACCACGTTGCAGTTCGGATTTATGCTTCCAATGTGCTTTCGATGAGACAGGCTTCCTTTCCCTTTTCCACCAAATAATAAAGCTATCAACAAAAAACAAGCAAACAAATAAAACAAGCTGAAATACTTAATGCCCTTGTCCAGATTTAAATACTGCTTCTCTAACTGGCACCAAACCGTAGAACAAGAATTTTCATTACACATAAACATGGTATTTTACATAATGTTAAACATAAAAATTCAATTAAAAAACTTCCTCTGTATGGCAGTCTTTATTTTTCTTAATACACATACAAAAAAAGTAAAATTAAATGTTCTCCCTAAAGGGAAGTTTTCTAAATAAATTTAAAATATACCAACACATCTTATTTAGCTTCTTCTCTTGACTTCCGGACACTTACAGTGCTGATTGAGTAACATTCTAATTGAAATGCGACTCATGTAGAAACGATCCAAAAAGTACTGAACATTCTGGCTGGTGACGGGATCCACCCCGAAGTTCTCCTTGTATTCAATCACACCTTGGGCCATGGTGGGAATCACGTCATTGTGTCGGTTCCTGATCCGTATCACAGTATCTGTAAAGCTAAACAAACCTGTCTGTCAAAATGGCCAAATATCCTGACAAGTGAACATAATACTAAAATCTGAGTTTAGTCAACTATACTTGGCAAGAAATCCCTAATTCAGTAAAAGGAGCATCAGTACATGTTTTCTTACACTCAATGTAATATATTTCAGATCATAAAATACACCGAATCTATGAAGATGTTAAGAAATTCCAAAATGAAATTTCTGAAACTCAAGTTATTTTCTTGGAACTCCTTAAAGTAAAGCTGCTAGAAGATACAATCCTACAGGTGATAAGGTGTTTTTTTTAAACCATTATTAACTAAGGTTATCTGAGAACTGACTATGAGGATGGTATTCCAGGGACATTTAGTGTAAGACAAGACAGAGCACTTGCTTCTAGGGAACACACGCTCTGTAAGGAATGAAGATGAATGAGCCAATAAAGGCTGTCTGTTTTGGAACTATTCCCTAGGTTCAAAGACAAAAAGGGCCACTGAGAATAGAAAAGAAGAAAACAATTCTAATTCCATTCATCTAATGAGTTTAAAAAAATAGGAGAGGAAAACTGAACTGTTGTGTTAAAAGAAAAATTTTCAAGCCATCCAGCTTTCTCACTTCTGGCATTTGGAAGACATTATTCATGATTAATTCAAAGAACTAAATAAAATTGGAAAGAAGTCTTAGTTATGAATTAACAAAATCCATCTTGTAACACACCCATCAGAATTTACACTTCCGAACGAGTGCTTTCCCGTTCAAAGGCATCATCTGGAGTATTATTAATCTATTCCAGTTATGCTCCCACTGCTCAAAACATTTTGGGAATTCCTAGCTTGTAATCAGTTTCAAAACCAAACTGTTTACCCAAAATACAAACAACAAAACTCAAAAACAACAAACAACTCATCATTTCTAGTCACTCCTTAATTGTTTATTTCACATCTCTCTCTCTTTTGTTAAAACCAAAAACAGTATTTTTCTGCCTGGCGGTTCACCTTATTTTTAAAATTCAGCTCTGGATGACTGTTTTCAGAAGGTTCTAGAGCATAATGTATACTTTTAAGACTGAGTGCATCCACATCCTGGTCCTATAATTTGCTATCTATGTGACCTTTATGCCATCTTAAGTTACTTAACCTCTTTGTGCACTGATAGTATTATCTCAGTAGTTATTTTAAAGATTAAATGACATCATTTGCGTAAACTGTGCAAAGTAAATTTTTGACGTTATTTTACCAAAATCAGGTTTAAAAAGTGAAATGTTGCTATCCCCTTTCAAGAGAGTCAAAAAAAAAAAAAAGTATATTAGACCAGGAGGACAACAAAAGAGGTAGGTTTTAAGTTCTGAGCAACATTCATTGGAATAAGCAGGTACCTTACCTTAGGGGACTATTGGGATTACTGGTCCTCCTGTATTGATTATTAAATAGGTCCTATTACTTATACTGTCTTACAGACCACAAGTTATAAAATGGAGACCCACAGATATGTTTTTGTAGGATTTCAGTGTTAAAAATTTAATTAGTTTCCCATCTTTCAAAACTGGGGGATTTTTACATTAAGAATCTAGACTGGTGGCTGTTCTCAAACACACACACAAATCGGACAATCTGGGCGGCGCTCTGCATGATCGTGGATTCAAGATGGCTGTCCTTCAGAAGCATGCACTCTCGAGGTTAAGAGTCCTCACCAGTCCCCTATCATCCAAGCGGCACTGAGGCCACATCTAGTTTTCCACTGATCCTCACACTGGAATTGTGTCTTTCTTTACACTAGAGTTAGAAGGAACATAAAGCCTTTCTCATGCCCAGCCCAATTTACAAATTTATGTACGTGCCTCACCTGTATGGGCTGCTAGAGGCACATATGCTGCCATATGTTCCAAAGCAGTGGGAAACTAAAAGTTAATCAGTTTCCCTAAAGTGACCCAATAGCAGGTTTAAGTTTAATACATTTATATTTTTGATATGATGTTCAAAGAGTGCAAAACTTGTGCTCAGAACAGGGTTAAAACAGTGTACTTACTCATAAACAGTTTTAGCATCTTCAGCGCTTTTGTCCTTAAATTCAAGAAGCTCCTGAAGACTCTGGATATACCTAAAATGCAAATCAACAGGGTACATCTGTTCTTTTACATTTTGAAAGTTCAGTATGGTGAAAATGCTCCAAAAGTATTTTTAACATTTCTTAATTTAAATTAATTTTTAAAAAATTATGGTTGAAGTAGGATTTTTATACCCATTCACATTCAAAGTGCCTGGCATTAAGCAGCAGAAGGTACATGTTTTCTCCTAAAAACAGGTTAAGTTTGATTTGAGAATTTTAAGATTTCCTACTTCTTTTTTTTAAGTTCTATATTCTAAAACAGCTTTTAAGTTTCTTAAAATTACCACTGTACATTACAGTACAAATACAGACTGTCAGAAGAACTAAGTCTGTCACTAATAACCATGTGATCTTGGGCAAATGGCTTAATTTGTCTTAGTCTCAGTAAAATGTGGAGGCCAATCTACTTAAATGTCTGTGCTTTAAAACCTTAATTTTAGATGTTTATATCCAATCAACATTTATTGAAAGCCCACAATCTAACACATGGTCCTTTTAAACAGAACTGAACAAAAACACAAAAGTCATGAAAGTGTAGGTTTTTAATTTACCTAACAATTCAAGGGAGCAAATCACCTGGTAAAGAAGGGAAATGAGGAAAGCCAAATGATCCTCTCAAGGTCACATCACTGGGCAGAGCAGGCCCAGAGCCAGAACACATCAGCTCGTTCAGTGACCTTCGGAAGTATAAGGTCTGCTCTGACTTGTCTGTTGGCACTTGATTTACAAGTGCCCTAACTTAGCACACATCCAGGGGCAGTGAAAGTTCCCTAAAAATCTGTAAATCCACATGTGGGTTTGGAAAGCTGTTCCCAGCAAGCAATATGCCTACTGTATGTCAACACACTCCACAGTCAGGTGATTCTGATGTCTACTGTTTTGTTTTAACCCTTATTTCGCCCTTCATTAGCAAGAATAATTATGCTCTTTATTCAAGAGATACATCAATACCTACAATGTGTTAGGCACAGATAAGGTTTCAAAATGCAGCTCAGACTTACTCATATTCTATTTTTAATGAAGAATTAAAAAAAAAACAGGAATAAGCTTCCATAGAAAATTATATGTTTTCCTTACATCAGAGTTCCTAAACAAATGCCTCTTACTTACACCATGTTTCTAACTGTTCCATTCCTGGACTAAATAGCATCTGATTATCATTTATGCAGCAGTCATACTCTTTCAGTTATTATAAAAAAAACTGATGTTAGATCAGCTTCTCCTACAAACTATAACACCAACAAAAGGAAAGCTTACAGTCTCCATGAATCATAATTGGGAATGTCTTGAAAATAAATTTTTTCATTTAAGACTGAACTCTGGCAAACTCTTTCGTTTGAAATGTTAGTGCTTAAGAGAATAATGTTTTTAATAAGATTAACAAGAAAAGCTGTATCCAGGTGGCCATATATGTGTGCACACCCTTAATACCTCTACCGTCATTTTTTGGAAAAGAGGTCATAGTTTCTACACAATTTCAGTAACTTCTAATTGTTTTAAAATGGTAAAACAAAGATTTTAACTTTTGTGATTTATAAACATATACTTCAAGAAAATATAATCAGTACACTTTTTAATATATTTCATCAATCTGACTACAGCATAGTGTAGTAGAAACAAACAATTCTAGGTCTGAATCCCAGCTCCACCATGAGTGGTAATGCCTTACGCAAAGGACTTGACCTGTAGGTGCCTCAGTTTACTCACCTGGAAAAATGGAGATGATAATGCCTACTGGGCAGGGTTATTGAAGGGATTAAAGGTAATGTATATAAACCACTAGCTATCAACAAACATAAGGTATTTTTATTACACTATATAACATCCCTACAGATTTAATAACACAAATCTTAAATATAATGTCTGTATTTCTGTGCAGGTGATTGTTTTTTTCAAAGCCAAAAAGTGGTACAGTCCAGGATTCAGGAGACAAGCCCAGACAAACCCAAAGAAAGGAGGAGGAATGCTGCTACTACCTTAAGATTCCACGGAAGAGTTAAAAAAGTACTTGCTTTAACTTGAGGTAAAGTCTACAACTCTATCGAAATTACAAACACAAGACAGAGAATCTTACCAGCTTTGTACCAACTGAACTGATGGCGTCCTGAGAAGATTATCTGGAAGAAGACTTATTTCTTTCATGATATTTGCCAATCTAACAGGCAACTCTTGCCGCAGAAACATAAATGAGGTCTTCTCACAAGCATTCACAGATCCTGAAACCAAACACAGTGAGAACAGCAGTTAAGTGGAAGCCATGAGGCAGGGAGAAACACAGAGGGTGTTATTTGGCAAGTTGCAGCATCACCATAATAACAGGGCAAGGAAGAGGAGGCAAGGAAGAGGAGTCAAGGGACAAGACAGCACAGTCTCTAGGGTTGTGAGGCATTCTGAACAACCCTCCAGTTCCTGACCTTCCAACCACGCTATAAAGCAGCAATGTCTCCCTTACTTACATCTCGTCTTTGAACAAAGACAACCTAAGCAAGTCTGAGCAAGGCACAGAATTCAATTTACACAGGACCTGTGAAAGCCTATCCCATATCACCTGGTGCTGCTGTCATTTAAAAAATCTGTTTCCTAATTCTAAATTTATGAGACACAAATATCTGTCTAAGAAACAGCAGAAATTCTGACATGTTCATGGGAAGTTTCATTGATGCCATATCACAGAACCACTATACTAATCGCCATAAACAAAGAGCATATGGAGAGGAGGCGTTCAGGCAACAGAAAGTAAAAAATGCCAACACCTGTTTAGCAACCATCTTCAAGCTTCTCCCCAGCAGGTCCTTATTCAATTGTCTGACTCCTGGAAAGCAACCTGCTCCTTCCTCCACTCCTATCTCAAAATGCTAAGCAGAATAGCTGCAGGATGTCCTTTGGCAAGCAGTTCCATTTAAAGTTAAACAAAAAGTCATATTATTTCAGTAATGCATTTTACACTCACTAATTTAATCTTGCTGTTTTAGCAAGCGACAACCTTAGCAAAAATTAGATTGTCAATTGTACAGGAATTATGCTTTTAAAAAAACCCATTTTCTTGTGAAAGTTTAATGGCATACTTGTAAACACGGCCAAATTCACCCCTTATTCACACTAGAATCATTTTAAAGTAAAAACGAAAACCAAGAGCTTTGAGCCAAGCAAAATTGCCACTGTAAACCACAAGTTTAAGATCAAGTGCCCAAACATGCTGCTATCTTTCAAGCCACCAGTGATCCGTTAGTGACCTAACAGCACTCACAATGCAGAAGATAACTCTTGCCTACTCAAAATTTTGACTTTACTAGTTCTCCCTTTTCCACTTAGCGCCCCCATTTGAGAAGTCGAAGTTAAATGCCTGATTTTGCAATTCCTCTGCATCCTTTCTAGAGAAAACCAGGAAGCACCTATCCGAGGAAGAGGAAAGTGGTTACTCACTTCTACAGAGGTAAAACGTAGTACACCCCACAGCATCTGGTACTCATGCACTTTACACGTGCTCCAGACTTATTATTTGTTGTCGACGAAATGAATGTGCCGTTGGTGGAAACCCTCTTACGGCAGTGGCAAGGAAAACATTCTATTGATACACTGGGCCTGTTGTAACCTGCTTCCCCTATACCACGCCACTTTTATGCAATCATCACATACAAAACCGAGCATTTATCATCACTCTGCAGAATCCGAGTCTGACCGCGGGAGATGTCCCGCACGCTTGCCTCTCACGCGAGCTGGGCTCAGCCGAAGGCGCCTGGCTGCGAGCGCGGATGTGCACACGTGCGCCGAAAGACGGGGGGTCATTCGCCCTCGGGCCCCGTGGTTTGTTTCTCAACAATACACAGTATCAAAAAAAAAAAAAGGCATATGGCCCCGGTTATTTAACCG